TATATATATATATATATATATATATATATTTTTTCTTTGGTTTTTGGTGAACACCATCTCTTTTTTTCTCTAAATCCGCTCTCAGATATTTGGTTCACTCATGCTGGGATTTCTAAGTCACATGATTTATTTAGGATTTGTTGAAGTCTTTCAGGCAGCCCTACATACCGTCTTGGCACTCTGTCTGACCAGACATCCTTTGGTTTCTTAAATTACGCTTTCTGCCCTCCTCTTCTGCTTTCCTCCCTGCTTGCCTACATCATAGCCATTTCTTCCTCACCACAGTGCTCTTTGCAGATAAAAAGAAAAGCAAAACCAATCAGTACTGACAGCTGAGTTACACTGCAGATGACAAATAATGCTGGGGTAATAGTAGGTTACCACACACTTTACCTCATGAATAGCTCTAAGTTCTGCATATCAGAAGCCTGTGTTTCTCCAGGGCCAGGTGGCAGTTTCTCTCTCCCTTCCTGGTTTTCCTGTTTTCTGGCGCTGTCAGCCCAGTTCTGTCTCATTCTTGCTTCATCATTGAAAATAGGTTTGCTTTAGGGTGGCTTCCCACCCATAGACATGGAGGGGTGGGTGGTGATGCAATCGAGCTGCTGGGTAAAGTGGGAACTGTTTGTTGCTGTCTGCACGTCAAAAAGAAGTCTAACAATCATTTCTGGTTCTTACAGCATCTGGAGAGGCCCCAATGTGAACTGTGTGGACAGCACTGGATACACTCCTCTGCACCATGCTGCCCTCAACGGACACAGGTACATCAGAGATAAATAACAGCAAGCTTGGTATTTGTACTGAATGTTTTAAATAATATTTTTCATATTGCATGTATTTGATAAAAAAGGGAAATGGGGTCATTTAGGTTGGATACTTTGTTACCTAAAGTCAGTCATTTGAATTCCTCCTTTATTCCTTATTAGGCTGCTATTGGTCACCCCAATAGGAAGCTGATGCTCCCTCATTTGATGCTGATTCCTTTATGTAAACACAAACTACATCTTTGCACCCTTTAGCAAACATTAGAATACAGAGGAACTTACTTTATATGGGATAAATATACCAAATTTGTTAGAACACAAACTAAATATCCTAATATGCACATACAAATTCACTGTAGTCATAGTTTAAACAATTATGTTACTGCTTGTTTAAAACTCTATTAGCTGTTTTTGTGTTCTTTTTTCTTTGTGTATTTTTGATTTAAGCGTTCCTTCTGTGGCACCATACAATGTTATGGTGCATTTTCAATGTGCAGTGATAATAAAGGCTTTTAGATTCTGGGACTCATTGACCAACTGGTCGGAAACTAGAAAATCTGATCTTTTTTGGATCAGTTAAGGCAACATAAAGGCTCTAACGAGTTGAAGGAACAACAGCAGCCTTTAGTTTAGATTTTGTTACTGAGTTACAGAGACTCAAATAGAAATGTTCTTTATCAATGAAGTGGATTAAGATTAAGTCCAGAAGAAGTGTAGAAGTGGAAAACACTACTTAAAAGGCAGCTACATTTTCTTCATACACATTCAGGGAGCTACTTGAAGTCGGAGCATGAAGGCTTAATGTTTTACAGGAAAGTTTTTTTAAATTACTTTATTTTGCAGGAAAATGTGATTGCGTGCCTGAGGTGGTTTTTTGAATAAAGTAACCCTATATAAGAGGACATAGAAACACAAATTGTCAATTAAGTTCTTAGGCAGTCACTATTTACGTCTATTTTTTTCGTTGGTTACAGCCAAGGGTTATGTAAGCATATGATGACATTACGCTTTGCGTCACCTAATCAACTCGCTCCAGTGTATGGAAACGCATCTAATTCTCATTTTCTATTGTCAGGCATTTTAAAAATTAGGTCAAAATCACATTTTGGGGTTTATAACTTTCAATTTATACTCTCTGGTGTAAAACATGTTGGATCTGAAAATTCTGGCAGCCTTTTAAAAGTCCTGATTGTGCTAATTGGCAATGTTAAATGTTTAAGAGGGCTGAAGATGCCAACTCTAGTAAGGAAAGCTCTGTGTTTCTTCTGCTTTTAAGACCAATTGACTGATCACATACAGGAAGGCTTGAGAAAAAAAATATTTTCAACTCTTGTATGTTTTTTTAACATTATATCTGTATTTCTATGTAAATTGTTCTTTAAAATGTGTCGGAAAAAGCTGATCTGTAGAGCCACTCAGCTCAGCAATACATTAGGGATAGCACTGGGTTGTAGGGATAATAAATGGCGGGAAAGGAGACTTCCCCCTAAGCTTAATGGGGTTTAACTCATAATTCCAAATGTTGGGCCAAAAGTTGTTATTCTTGTTGTTGATTTCTTTCTTTTTTTAACCACATCCAAATGTCACTCATTTGCTTTTTAGAACAAATTCACCATTGTTTAAACTTAATTTCATCCATTGTCTGGTTAATATATGTAGCCTACCCATGGCTAGGCTGGCTTATGTGGGTCTCAGTTTTTTTTTTTTGTATTTATTATTTTTGCTGTTCATCATAAAATATTTTTTATGATGAAAACAGCAAAGCTATGGTGGTTTAGCAATAAACCACTATAAACCATTAATACATTAACGTAATTTGTTGATGTAGCAACGGTGTTGATGAGCAAACATGCTGCTAGAATGCGGCTGCTTTGGCCTCGGTGTTTGTGCTCTTTGTGTGAGCAGGCAGCGGTCCCTCAAGGGGGATTAAGGTATAGATTGTCTGTGCTCGTTGATTAGTGCGTTTCATAAAGGTCCTGATCCTGCTGGGGCTTCATTTTCCCTGCAGCGCCGTGGTGGAAGCCCTGCTGCGGAACGAGGCCTTGACCAACATCGCCGACAATAAGGGCTGCTACCCGCTCCACCTGGCCGCATGGAAGGGAGACCAGCACATCGTGAGGCTCCTCATCCACCAAGGACGCTCAAACCCCCAAATCAACGAGCAGGTCTGCCACAGCTGCGTGCTTGTTTTTTTAATTCTGCTCACATTTACAGTTCTGTTTTTTTTATTTACATAGATGTTCGTCTGGTTGGAAATGGAAATTAGATAATCTTAGCAGTAAGGAACATTTCGGGAATTAGAATCTCAGACCTTTCCGTTTGGTCTGAGGACAGTTTAATGTGTGTCAGGAACTTAGCAGCTTGTTTTCTTTAGAAATGACACCAGAAGGTTGCCAGAATGACAAAGTAAAGTTTCAGAAAGCGATCACACAGAGCTATGAAAACGAGCCTTGTTCTGACCTGAGCAGCTGCGCATAGCATGGCTGGGATCCAAACAAGATTAATGTTAAAGCGAATGTGACCACAGTGCATTAACCTCAGTGCATTATGATGCCGACTTCCCCATTGATAATGTGAAAGTGCTTGAAGTGCTGTGCCAAGTGGGAGAAGTCGTCATTTCCGCTAACAGTTTTAACTCTTGTCATTCTCTTTTTTTTTTTTTTTTTTTTGACTGCTTAATGTGCAGAGACCATTTCTTTTGGCCTGTCCTGTTTTGAAACACAAGAGAAAAATGGCACATTATGAGGGAAAAAAAGATAATCATGGTTATTTTCATTAAACTGCCACATTCAGCTTAACCATCATTAAACTCACTCTGATGATGACTTTACTTGATGACTCATTTTGTGCCATTTCTCCCTGCCTGTTCATGACATCCAGTTATTCATTAACTTGATCCTTTTTTTTTACTCCTTTTTGTTCAGTTTGACTCATTTGTGATGATTCCTCATTCATTAATTGCTTGTCTGAACCGAAACCATCCACCTATCTTCTTTTCCTCCCTTGCAGAGCTCTGTAGACCATAAAGAGTTCAAACGCTGTGGGCCCTTTGACCCCTATATTAATGCCAAGGTGTGTACACAGTGCTGTTGAAACCATCATTTCCTCCTGAACTTTTCTCTTGCTTTACTGGCCTGCTCTGCTTGTGCTTGGGGGGGTCGTGTAGCGCTCAGCTTCTATTTCCACTCGATACCAGTTGGTTTCTGCTCTTTCTATGTTTCAAACATTCTTTAAATAAAAATATGTGTTCCATTTTTTTATGTCATGCTTTATGTTGCTCTACTTTTATACATGTTTATGCTATAATTTTTTCTGTAAGCACCTTTAAAACATTGCAGTTTCCCTAAAAAATGTCTATGTCTTGTTCGGATCCAGGTGAACAAACCGGTTTGTGCAGTGATGCATATTTCTTTATCACTAGATAAGGGTTATTGGATTACATTGAGATTATAGACAAAGTCATCATAGTAGTTTACTGATATCTACAGGATACATGATTTTCATTTTTAACACTTTCCCCAGAGTCACAACAAAACATCACCTTTTAATGATTGCTGTTTTTACTTCCATTTTCTCAGAATTTCTAGGAATTGAGCCCCACATCCATGGTGCTCTTTGGTCAGTCTATCTGTTTATAATTTCGGGATTTATTGTTTTGATTTTTCTATTCGGCACTTTTTCCACTCAGATTTTTCTCAGCTGTTATGTCAAGACCCCGATGAAGGCCAGGAGCCGAAACCTGTTGGTACGGTTATACAGTTGTTGTTGTTTATCTGGGCTTAAGGTTTTTCTGGAGTCTATATAGTTGGATTTTCCTGATCTCCTCTCGGGTTTTTAGAAGTATTGACACTCAGAAAAGTATTGATACTCGAAAAGCTGTATCCGGATACAATACTAATTTGAAATGGTAAAACTTTTAGATATAATTGTAGTTTGCATATTTTTGCTGTTGCTAATTTTAGTTCTTCAGATTATTTGCACCTTTAAAGAATAATACCTCAAAATCTTGTAAAATGTGGTTATTTATTTTACTTTTATTTGTGCAATTTTTTAATTAAGAGAACTATTTATGAACTTCCCATGTTAAAATTGAAGGAGGTTAGTTTTTAATGCTTTTTATGCCTTTAATCAATTGACATTTTTTTATTCCCATGGTATGGAAAATGGTATCGGCTATCCAATAATTTTCTGAGTATCAATATGGAGTTTAAATTGTTAGTATCTTTGAAAGTATGAGTTGTATTCTCAGTGTGAATGTATTCGTTTTGCAAATGCCTCATAGGTCTATGGTAGAGCAAAGAGCATCATGTGGACCAGGGGTCCACAGGACAACTCTAGTTCTTAGTGCCTCTTTTTTACGCATCTTTGCTCCATCAAACTACAATCAAACATTTAATGGCCACATATTTGGGATACTTTCTGAAATGCTAAGAGATTATTTACCTTTTTGTAGCAGTAACTCCTCCAAAACTTGCAGAACGGAGGCACTCATAGAATGGAGTTTCAGACCCCTGATGTAGATCAAGGGAAACGCCACACAGGTCAGGGATAAAGGTGTGTAGAAGTGAAACAGAATGTTTCAGAAAGTTGATCAGATTCTGAAAGTAGAAACAGCATGGCAGAAACTTGCATTCACACACTCAAAGTGAAAAACAAGTTCAGTGCTTCTCAAAAAACAGCTACAGTATTAGTATAATTTTTAGAGCTGCAGACAGCTCAGATGGTTGGGCTACCCTAAATGCAGCAAAGTCAAAATCTGGGCAAATAACTGACATTAATGGATTTTATATATTTCTGTAACCTTTGGACACCATTAAAAAAACAAAACAAATAGATAACTACAACTCAGACATTGCTCATCTTCTTCACTTTCACATCTACAATCCTTCGCTTTGTCCCTGTGTATATATATGTATATATATGTATGTATATATATATATATATATATATATATATATATATATATATATATGATCAAACCCCTCACCTTCCTGAAATAAAACATCATCTAGATGGAAATAAATATCAGTTGTTTATATCGAGCTAATCTTACTTATCAGAGAGATACCAATATATAGAATGACCTACATTGACCAATACCACAGTTGATGGTGGATATCTAGCTGGAAGAGGACAAAAAAAATATAAGTCTGAATCATTAAGTCTGAAATATAATGTAAAATTCTTGCAGAGCACCCTATCTCTGATGTTGGGTAGCCTTGATTTATTGTAGATACAGATGTAAATTATGTAAAACTTAGTCTATGATGTTTGTTAGGTTTATTTAGATATACTTTCTGTTTACAACAAATAGCGGTGGGGGGAGCTTTTGTGCTCCAGTCCTTTCTGAGCTTTGCCTTTATTCCTTCTCTGGTTGAAAAGTGTTGCAAACCCAGAGAGTCTTTATCAGCTCTTTTCAGTAAACAGCATGCTGTTTGAAGAAAAAATAAGAATTAAGTCACGCTAATGTTTGCATCCAAAACAGTCTTTACAGTATTAGCCATTCTTTTAGCAATGCAAGGCTAAATATGAAGTACTTTTCAGGATATCTTCTGGTAAGTATAATACTTTGTATTAGGTTCTCACAATATTAGTGTTGTGTGTTTGTCTGTATTTACACAAAGCCTTGAGATAAAATTGTATGACATGATCTAAATAGTTCACTTCCAAAAAGGTGCCAAAGCTTGCGAGGCAAACCGGATCGCTATGGCTGTAGAGCGTAGGCAAGCCAGGAAGATCAGAGCTGCCAATCCTGCACCAGACGCCACCATTCCCTGTCCGTATTGCCCAAGACTTTTCCGTGCACAGATTGGCCTGACCAGCCACCTGCGTACTCATAGACTCTAACTTCCCCAACCATAGGATGAATAGATGGTCCTCGTCATATCGAACGTCGAACAAAGTTCACTTAGGAATAAAATAAACCTCTGTGACTTAGATGTAACTCCCCTTCCTTAAAATTGCACCACTGCGGTTTCTAGTGTTTTATTTTAGTTCTGTAAGATTTCGCCTTAAGTTCGCTTTACAAAAACACTGAAAATATTTTTATGTCAGAAATACTATATATAGAGATGGATTTTTATTTTTATGTTTTACTGGTTGGCTTTATGTACCCCAAACATGCCAAAGTCTCTGTGAAAGAGGAAAGGGCCAAACTGTTAGATTATATTTTGTCAGAATATTCAGGAGTCATGCCTTATGTTTGAGCGAATAGCAGTTGAAACATTGTTGACTTTGAAATGCAGAGCAAAGCGTATTAGTTTGCATAAACTGGTTGCTTTTTGCTTTAAATGTGAAATCGCTAGAGGAATTATCTGCTGTGACCTTGTGCGATACCTGTTGTACCGTAAATTTCGTTCAAGAAATATGTTTTAGATGGTCAAAAACAAACAGTTGTCCTCAACTTATGGTCTGAATTTCTAACCAATGAGTCAGCAAACTTTTAACACATTCAATTTCTTATATTATGTTTTACAGTTGTTGGACAGAGAGAAAAAAACCCCAAAAGAAAACAGTCAGAATGGAAATAAGCTATAATGCACAAGTCAGACCTCAAACTTAAATCGGTAGTCAGTATAAGCCTGGGAAACTCCAATTGATGCATTTTATGTTTATTTATGTCTATATTATTAAATGCACATGCAAAACCCGCTCCCAAGAAATAACACCTATTAAATACGTGCGAGAGCATGCACAAGCCCATTTCTCCTCGCTGCACGCTCTGTTTAAAAGTTGCTGTTATCATAGCTCATACAAGCATATTGTGTCCGAATGACCACCCCAACCCCTAAATCCCCCAATCGCTATATAGAGCGGGGAATATATAGTGGACTTAAAATTAACTCTGTTAACTTACCATTCGGACAGATGATCACTGCTTTTTGCTCCTCGTTAGCACGTAACTCCTCCCCTGCGCGGTGCCTGCGTTATCTTTGTTGTTAGTCGCCGCCGCTGTAGCAACAGCCTATGGCGACAGTGGGCCGCTGTAACAGTAAATCCCATAATGCATTTTGGGATATAACTGCCTCTTCTGAGGCATTTGTTTTCTTCTCATACACTTTATAGACAATTTTTTCAAAGAACCGCAGTGAGCTTCAATGACTATCTGAAACCGTGGCTCACCACAGATAAATGCCTGAAAGTGCGCATGCGCAGAATAAGATAGCTAACGGGACGAGCACGTAGGAAGGCCTTACGTAAACATATCACCAGGATGATTGACAATTAGGAGGACCACTTTTTCTGATGATCCACCCAGAAGATTGTCCTCTAAATCTGCATATACGGATAGATTTTTGGTTACACATTGATGCAAAGGGACATCACAAGTAAATATTTTGTGTCTCTGACACTTTCACCCCCACAGTCGGTACAGTTGACAGTGTGAGGCTGGTCCATGTTTTTTTTTTTTTTCCTGCAAGGTAGAGCTAGAGAATCAGCCAGGCATGTAGAAGAGGCTATTTTTAAACATTGTCACATTCCCCCACAACTAATCTTCTTAGCTTTTGACTGGGAATGCTGGCTGACCTTAATGCTGCAGCTCTGTTTGACAGGGTGGGGGTACTCCTGCAGTTATTGCCTTTTCCCACTGAATCAAACTAAAAGATTCACCAGCCACTGAAACCAAAACATTTCTTTTGTTTTCAATGTTATTAGGAAGATTAGGGTGTTATTATTTGACCATGGAACTAAATTATGAATCAACGAGGACCAGAGTAACATCCCATGTGGAGGAAAGAGGAGGAGGATGAGAGATTTCCAGTGTAGCCGTCTCTTTACATCAGCATCAAAGAGAAACTGCCATGCAGTGGCTGTCTGTGTACGAGGTGGGGGTGTGGGGCTATGTGCCCCTTTTCTCCTCCCACCACTTCAGTTTGTTAAGCTGTGTCTGCTGAGGAGAGAGAGAGATAGGACGTTGTCATAGTAACTCTGTTACGGTATATTGGTCCTACAGCGGTGGTGAGGGACTGTTGGTGTGTTCCTACAGGCTTAAAGCGGATAGAGATGTGTAGAGAGGCCCTTTCAGTGATTCTCCAAAAATCCTCCAAGATTGGACCCATTTACTTCTGACT